TTCCTATGCGCTCCTGGTAGCCAGGGGCATGGCCAGGCCCTGCCCTCATCAGCCCAGCCACCAGCAGCACCCCGTCCTGTGCAGCCCCTGCTTAACACCCCTGCTTCTGGAAGCATGTGAACCTGCCCCAAAGCACACAAACCGTGAACAGAAAACCACCTTCACATTTCCAGTCTCTACCACATCCACCAGGAGGCATGTGGTGTGTGCCTGAGAACACAGCAATATACAATCATCAATTAAATTTAAATACAACACCACAACATGTTGGAGAAGACAATTTCGGCTTAAACTAAGAAACAAGACCAAGTGCCTCAAGCAAGTGACCAAAATATAGAGTTAGAAAATATAATGCCAGAAATGGTATCAGAACTACTTGATAAAGAATTTAAAAGAATACTACTTATTCAACAGATTAAGAGAGTGATCAAGAAAAGGAAAGCATAGGCAAAATTATAGAAGAATTCAGGAAACAAACTGACAAAATAAATGAAAAAATGGGACCCACCCAAAAACGGCAACTAGAAAGTCGTAAGATTCACATTCAGACTTCAGAAATAGATAATACACTGAAAGAGCAAAGAAATTGTAGTGAACCAAATTACTAAGCTTGAAGAAAAATCTCTCAATATTTATCTTCTAGAGGAACAATCAGAAAAAAAGAACAAAAGAATCTGAAGAACAAGAAGATACAAAAACAAAACATAGAGATTCGTGTCTAAGAGTTGATGGAAGAAAACTTACTTCCCTGACATCATGAAAGACAAGAAGACAGCCATTCAAGAAGTTGGTCGAACTCCAAACAGGATAAACCCCAGAAGAAAAACACCAAGACTTATTTTAATCAACCTTTTCAAAACCAAAGACAAGGAACAAATCCTGAAAGCAGCTCAGGAAAAAGTAAAAGTTACCTACAAAGGAGATCTAATTAGACTAAGTTTTGATATAAGGGAAGACAACAACACAGGTAAGATATGCTCACTATGGAATGATCAGCCACTCACGACCTAAAGGGCACTGTTTACCAGGACAAGGTTCAGAGTGGTTGGGAAACAGGGTGGAATGGAAGCAGAAACCACAGGGAGGAAGTGGGATAATTGTTGTTATGTGGAAGGCATTACAATCATTGAGATGAAACAAAATGTGTGATTTTTTTGGATGTAAAACCTGTGATCTGCTCTGTAAACCTTCACTCAATTCGCAATATTAAGTTTCAGAAGCAGAAAAAGACTAAGCCCTGATTTCTCAGTACAAACCATGCAGGCAAGAAGAAAATGCTGAAAGAAAAAGTTGCCAACCAAGAATCATATACTCAGCAAAACTGCCCTCACATATGATGGCAAAATTAGGTCATTTTCAGATAAACAAAAGAATTTGTAAAAACCAGACCAACCTGATAAAAAAAGTACTAAAGTGAGGTCTTTGGACAGAGAATTAACAACAGCTAACAACAATCTGTGACTGAAATATATGACAATATCAGCTAGAAATAAACCCAGATATAGAAGTATACACAGTAAAACAGACCTACAAGTCTGAAAATAGAGAACCAGAGATACAATTGCAACAACAAAAACCTACACAGTAAAAAAGAGGGGAAATTTTGTAGTAACTGACTTTCCAAATGATGAGGAAATCAAGAAGTAGATTTCAAGGAAAAAATTAAATAAAGATAAACCTAATTGTTGTTGTTATTAATTGCCCATGAGTCAGTTCCGCCCCATCGTGACCCTGTATAGGGTTTTCGAGGAGCAGCTGGTGAGCTTGAACTGCCGACCTTGCAGATCAAACTGACTTTGCAATCCAGTGCATTAACCCGCAGTGCCCCACCAGGACCATGACCCTAATACTAAATGAAGTCCTAGGCCTAGCCTAGATTTAGCCATAGCCCTAACTTTAACCCTCACTCAAGGAAGAAAAAAATCCATGTAATTAAGCACCATTGTACAGACTGATGGACGGGAATGACTGATACGTTCAGGAAGACAGCTTGCCAATTTATTTTAGAAATCTAGCAGTGGTCACTGACACAGTAATTTCCTGTTACGTGACATTCCTAAGGAAATAAACAGGGCTGTACAAAGATTTATGTACAAAGATAATCATCTCAGTCTCACTTTCAATATAAAAAATGGATAGATTTGGAATACTCAGAAAATAGGGAGTTGTTGAAATAAACCTTATATTCATATATGTGCCAATAAAGGGCATACTCTAGAAGAATACTTAATGACATGTTGTTCTTGTTTAGTGCCATCTAGCCGGTTCTGACTCTTAGCGACCCTGTATAGGGTTTCCTGGGAGCAGCTGGTGAGTTTGAACCACCGACCTTGCAGTCAAGTGCTTATCCTGCAGCACTACACCAGGACTCCATAGAAAATCTATAAAGGCAATAGGAAGTAGATTCCTATTTATACTTACACCAGATATACTGTATGATTCATGTGTTTTGGTACATACAAATTTAGAGATAGAAGAATAACTAAAAAGAAAGGTACCAAAATGTAAAAAGCGGTTTGAGGTTGAATGCTGAGATTATCCAAAAACTAAATTGAACATCACTGAGTCAATTCTGAGCGTATACAGGGTTTCTGAGACTATAAATCTTTATAGGAGCAGACAGCCTCATTTTTTTACGGTGCAGCAGCTGATGAGTTTGAACCACCAGCCTTTCGGTTAACAGCTCAATGCGTAACCCACAGTACCACCAAGAATCCTTGTTGAGATTATAGGTCATTTAAATTTTTCCCATGCTTTTCTGTCTAACTTTTTATAAGTAAACATACTTTCATCATTTTAAAAATGCGTTTAAAGATGGTTCATAATCCTAATACCTAAACTAACCATTGGCAGTCTCTACAGACAGTTTCTTCTAGTCTTTTTTTTTTTTTTTATGTGTGTGCATACAGAAACCCACCCACCCACTGCCATCCAGTGGATTCTGACTCATCGGGACCCTCTATAGGGTTTCCAAGACTTTACAGAATCAGCCAGCCTCTTCTTTCTCCTGCAGGATGTGGAGCAGCTAATGGATTTGAAAATCCAACATTAGAATGATGCTGCATATGTAATGTTATATTGTCATCTGTTCTCACCAAACCACTCCCCCCCAAAAACCACTCCCCCACAAAAAACCACTCCCCCACAAAAAACCACTCCCCCACAAAAAAAACACTCCCCCACAAAAAAAAAAAAAAAAAAAAGTTTATGAGTCTTCTACACCAGCCTAGAAATAACTGGCATAGTTACAATTAATATTGATTAATCAGCTGGTAATTATACATGCTTTGAAAATATAATAATTAATAGCAACTGATAGTTTATTTGGCTGTTTAATAAAGAATTCTAATTTTGTTTTTGTGTTGTGTTTAAATATAATTTCACTTCACATGGCAGTTGAATTAGATGACCTTTAAGGTCCTTTGCAATCCTGAGCTTCTGACACTAATGAAACAACATATTTAATAACTCCTTCCCTCTGTTAATTATTCCTTGGGAAACCTAGCTCTTCAGACCAGAAAACCATAAGCACATTGTGTTCTAATTTCAGTTAGTGTTTGAGAGGAAGTAAACTCCCTTCTACGGCTAACCTTACAAACGTAAACCATCTAGTGACACATAGACCTCTTTGTTGTTGCTGCTGCTGCTAAGTGTCCCCAGGTAGGTTCCAACTAATAACGACCCTGTATAATGTTTCCATTGTTGTTGTTAAGTGCTGTCGAGTCGGTTCTGACTCATAGCGACCCTGTACAGGGTTTCCAAGCAGCTGGTGGATTTGAATTGCTGACCTTGTGGTTCTCATGATATTTCCCTAGATACTTAAAATTCCAAGATCAGCTAAAATATAACTATTGTTATAATCAATAGAAAATATGTAAAAGGATCAGACCAAAAGACATTCTAAGATGGCTATAGTGACCTCGTTGTCTCTTTGAGGCTTTGGCTTTTAAATTTTGTCACCTGGTCTCTGTTAATTATGACTTCTGACTGAAAGAAAATGCCTAATTTGGAAGTTTGCCCTCATGCATTTTCAAAAGCTAAAAAAGGATAAAGCTAAGATATGTTATGACCAAGCAGATCAACAGCAACAAAGAGGGGATGGCTGTTTCATATTTATTGTCTTTGACTTACGATTTGATTTCATATTATTTTTAACTTTCTGTGGGTTTTGGTGAAATTATGGAATCACATGCACCAGTAACTTCAAGGGACCGAGCACAGAAAGAAAGTCCCATCTTCTTTTCTAACAAAACGCAGCTTTTCTAGGAAATGCTTCATTGCTTTAATGTTGGTATAATCATATCAAGTAGCTGCTTCTTAATTGTTATTTGAAAGTATGAAAATTTTGCTCTCATAGGAAAAGGTTTCTCTTTAGAGTAGAAACTATCTTTTGCTCATGTAAATCTTTGGTTTAAATGGTTGACTGAGAAGTGAATGCTTAGCTCTGGCTCTGTTTCTTATTGGTATCTTTGTCAAACGGTATTTTTATTGAAACTCCTAAGCACTTATAACAAAAAGGACTCATACATAGAGTAATATATAACTCAGTAAACTGAAGGGTAAATTGATTTTCACTTTCCATTCTTCTCATTTATTTGATTTTACCATCTTTGTGTTGAGTTGAATAGTTATTTTCTCATTAATTCCACATGGATGCTCTGACTTTTCTTATCTCCTCCCTTCATTGTTTTCACCTTTCTTATCTACTAGTAATTATAACCTTGGCAGCATCTTCTCATCAGTGAGGGCTGGAAAATAAGCATGTTGCTCCAAAGCTAAAAAGCAACCAGTCACAAAGCAGATCATTGGCAAATCTAAAGTCCAGCACAAGTTGGGCCACGGGACCACTACTTGGGTAATGTCACATCCTATCCCATTCTTGAAACTCAATTGGTATACTTTATGCTACCATGTTATCTTAAGATGCTTACCGGTAATCGTATGTCAAATACGTGTTTTATTTTTTGTTGTTGTTTTTTTTTTTTCTTATTCTTTTTCAGCATCATTGACTGTTATTTCAGTAAAGGCAGTATCAAGCATGATCGCTTTTTCTGTGACGGATAAAATGCAACTAACTTATCCCATCTTCTATATCATGTTTATCATCATGGTTGCATCTTGTGTTTTCCAAGTCAAGTAAGTTAGCTTCTACATATTCAATGATCTTTTTATAGTCCTGTACACCGCTGCGCATGCATCTTTACTGGCTTCGTATGATCATTCAACTTTGCTCCAACTGATTTCGAAGGGTGAAGGGTCTACCACTTCTCCTTGGTCAACACGCCTTGCATTGTCCTTCGCATCCAATAATACATTTTTACTAAGCTTTGCCTTCATGTCTTGTGAGTCCTAAAGTGCAGCCATAATCCAGCCAAGTGCACTTTGATACTTTCCTGATGCTCTTCTGCTTGTAATTAATATCCATTGTACACAGGTTGTCATTAGCAATAAATCAAAAGGGCAGGTCCACATTCAGGATTTCATTCTAAATATAGGAAATGCATGAACCCTTCACCTTCATTTCTTAGCTCATGCTCATTAATTGCCCAGGGATGGACAGAACCAGACATTTGGCCGGGAGGGAAATCCTTTCTCCAGAACTTTGCATCTTTGGCCAGAACTTTCTTTGAACCCATGGGATCGCAGAGTGATTGTTTTATGTTTCTCTTGGGGCCTAATAGTGGTCACATGGTACGTTTTTAATTTCTTGCTCTTCTGTCCCCTACCTCCATCTGTTCTGTTCATTCCCTCTCCTTTTCACATTGCCTTTATGCCTTTGCCTGCTATACTCTCAAGTCAAACAGTAACTTTTCTGTTCACTCCAAAATGCTATGCGAAAGCATCATCCCAGTGTCAGCTAGGAAGTCAGAGCCCTGTAAAGTTGAATTATTATGGGCTGAATATAGGTCCTGGTACAAAGTCTATGGAAAGTTACTGGAGAAGCCCAATATTTTGTCACTGTTTTGTTGGTCATACTCTTCTAAGACTTAGTGTGTTTCTAATTCCTGAATCTCAGCATTTTGCTTCTTGTCCTTTCTTCTGAATTAATCAGGACTGCTTCCATATCTTTTGGAATTTAGTGATTAGCGTCATTATCTTTATACTATGCTTTATGAGTTTAATAGGCAGATACCATTGAAAAGAAAGTACATTCCCAACATCCTGTTTTTGATATCTGTATCCTTCACACTCCAGAGCTGTGGTTCTCAACAACCTTGGCTGCCCATTAAAATCTGAGGAGGCAGATTTATTTACACACACACACGAGGGTGAGTCAAATTATCCACATTTGGGCTGTAGGATTTATTTTAATCAACTTTTAGAAAAGACAAATACATTATTTTTGACATAATCTCCTTGCTTTTCCATCTGTCAACAAGCTTTCGTATTCCCTTATTCAAAAATGTTTGAGGCTGAGCTGTGAGCCACAAATGCGCTGCTGTCTTCACTTTTTTCATTAGAGGTGAGTCTTCGTCCTTGAAGGGTTGCTTTCAGGGGACCAAACAGGTACAAGTTTGATGGAGCAAGATCAGGACTATTGATAGAATGGTTTAACACCTCAAAACGGAGTTTTTGCAGAGTGTCAACAGTATGTGCAGAGTACAGACGTGCATTGTCATACATGATCACAGTGCTCTTGGAGAGCAGTCCTCTGCTATCAGCTCTTTAGTGAGCATCTCACTGTAACAAACACTGTTGGTTGTTGAACCTTTTTCCTGATAGTGTTCCAATACTAGCCCTTGAGAATCCCAGAAAAATGTAAGCACCAATTTTCCAGTTGATGGTTGCCTTTTGAACTTTTTCTTGGTCAGTGATTAAAGATGCTTATTCCATACTCTGCCGTTTACTCTCAGACTCGTAGTGATGAATCCATGTCTCATCACCAGTAACCTTTTTTTTTTTTTTAAGAAACTTTTACCTTTCTATGAGTATGGGTCCAAATTTTGTTTGAAGATGTCCAAACACTTCTGTTTATGCTCTTCCATGTGATGTTTCGGTACCCATCTCGCACAAACTTTTCAAAATGCAAGTCTGTCGTGGATTATTTCAGAAGCAGAGCCATGGCTGATTTCCAAATGATGTGCCACATAATCCACTGTCACTAGTCTATTCGACAGAATCATTTCACATGCATGCTCAATGTGGTCCTCAACCATGGGTGTGGATGGGCGTTCTAATATATTATAATATAAGGTGGATAATTTTTTACTCATCCTCGTGTATGTGTGTGTATATACAGTCTCATTTTATGTACGTATCTATGCATATGTATGGTAGCATAGTGGTTACGAATCAGGCTGTTAACCTCAAGGTCGGCAGTTCGAAACTACCAGCGGTTCCTCAGGGGAAAGATGAGGCGGTCTGCTCCCGTAAAGATTTACAGCCTTGGAAACCCTGTGTAGGGTCACTATGAGCCGGAACCGACTCCACGGTACTTAACAACAACAACATACATACACATATATATACACATACATAAGAGGGGACTTCAAAAAGCACATGGAAAAATGGAATTACAAGGTAATGGAATTTTTCATGAATTTTTTGAAGCCCCTTGTATGCATGTATATGCACTCACACACTCATGCCGGGGGCCATAAATACATTTTTCCAGTTGCTCTGGGGTAAGACCGAAGCATTAGTGTTTTTTTAAAGCACTCGGTGATGTCAGTACAATCTGTTGCTTTAGAAAACGAAAGGTCTGGTTCCCCATGGAGGCAGCACAGCTGCAGAAACCTGAATTCCTGTTGGTGGCCGAAGTAAGTGAGAAACTGAGCTTGTCACATGTGCTCTGCAGCTGGAGCACAGAGCTTTGCTTTTTGAAACATTACACATTCCTTTGCTTCTCCATCTTCTTTCTTGGCACGTGGCATGTCAATGGATAGCTACACTGTTCCCCAGAAATGATATTTAACAGATTCTAGGGTCTATCCTAATGAATCAGCCCCAGTGTGATACTGGTCCAGCAGCTTGAATCGCTTCCAACTCAAACTTCTGTGGCCTCGGAATATGATTAATTGCTTTTCATTGTTACTGTTGTTGGTTTAAACAGACCATAAAACCTGACATCTGATCTCATACATCAGATGCATATAAGCTATAACTGCTGATTGGAAATGCCCTTTTACTGCACTTCCTTTTCCTTTGTAGTTCTAGCTGAAGAGCATACATTTCTTGAAGTTATTGTGAACTTCATGCTGAGCTTTTCTTAAAGCCAGAGACTCAGTAAGTGCTTTCTGCTTTAGGTTCCTGAATCAAGCCACAAAACTCTACAATACGACGATGGTGGTGCCCATTAACCATATTTTCTTTACAACCAGTGCCATTATTGCAGGTAAGATTTGGCTTTTTATGCAAAGGTGATTCACCCCACACACAAGCATAAATCAAGAAGTCTTTGGATTTTATGTTATTTTATACTCCCTGCCACCCTTGCCTCTATCCAGTACCAGAAATCTCCTCCATAATCTCCACTGTGGGAAGTTATTCCACTTTGCATGGTTGTACCCCGTGCTCACTACTCCCAGCTTGGGTCACTCTAATTCTCTGACCAGCATTCATTATTAGAAGGCTTCCTAGTGTGGCACTGTAGAATCAGTACTGGTCAACAGTTCAAACACACCAGCTGCTCCTTGGGAAGCCTACATAGATAGGGTCACTATGAGTTCAAACAGATTCAAGGACACTTAACAACAACCCAAAAAAACTGACTAGAAGGGGTCTTGGTGAGTCACTGTGAAATCATTACTGCAAGACCGACAGTTCAAACCCACCAGGTGCTCCTCAGAAACCCTTATACAGGGTCACTATGAGTCAGAACTGACTCAACAGCACATAACCACAACAAGTTATTAGAAATTGTTTCTTATATTTGAGGGGAAATTAGTTTCCCTGTGAATTCAAGTTGCTCATGTTAGTTGTGTTTTCTGGAGTCTTTCCCCTTGCCAGCCCTTTTGATAATCAAACCAGCTGTCATGGGCCTCTTGGCCAAACATCCCCAATTCCATTTTCCCCAGAGATTGAGGAGCAAAAAATTAATCCAGTGCCCCAGGGAAGGACAGGCATACAAGTGCAGAAACTATTACCTCCCACTTCTAGCCTCTATTTTCCTATTATTGCAGTTCGTTTATTCTTATAGACAATTTTTTTATATGCTAGACACAACAGTATTAAAAAGTATAAATTTGAAACACATTTCAAACTAAAATACAGAAGCTTTAAATATATGATTTCTCAATTTGCTATTGGTCTGTCCTATTTTGGAGTCCTGGTGTGGTGCTGTGGGTTAAAGGGCTAGACTGCAAAGCTGTTTGAATTGCGAAATCAGTGGTTCAAGCTCACCAGTCACTCCTCAGAAACCCTATACAGGGTTGCTATGGGTCGGAACCGACTCGACGGCACTTAACAACAACAACAAATGTCCTGTTTTGTTGGTTTATTTGATGTGTTTCTCAATGCAAAATTCATGTATTGGGGGAACAATTGGGGATTATCTGATTCCTAATTGGTTCACCCTTTTTATTTCATGGCAAAGAGTATGACTGCCAGTGAGCAATTTAAAAAAATAACTAGTACATTTTTCTGTTTCCCAAAATTGAACTTTACATTGAAAGAAAAACATTATATTCCAAGACAAACTTATTTTTCTTTTAGCATTTTATGTTTGTTGATTAAAAAAAAAAAAAAAGAGGGAAGGTAGAAAAGATGGAGAAAGTGTCTGAAAGTGTAAAAAGATTGCATTTCCATGAATAGAAAGAGCTTTCTAAGAAGACCAACAGGGCTGAGTCATTGCTCAGCACATCGAGTCATAAATGAGCCAGGGAGGCTGGGAATCCTTGGGCTAACAGGTAATCGGATATCATAGAAGAAGAATATAGGTGTAGTTTCTGCCTGCCGCCGTCAAAAAGTATAGCTCAAAATAAAAATGATAGGACAGTGAAACGGTTCTGGATATTTAATGGTGGTTACATGCCATTATAAGGAGCTCTGGTAGCGTAGTGGTTACGAATTGGGCTGCGAATTGCAAGGTCAGCAGTTTGAAACTACCAGCTGCTCCATGGGAGATAGATGAGGCTTTCTGCTCCCGTAAAGATTTACAGCCTCGGAAACCCTGTACAGGGTCGCTATGAGTCAGAACCAACTCCACGGCACTTAACAACAACAACAACAACACATGCCATTATGCACTAATCAAAACCCATAGGACTGTGCAACATAAAGAGTTAAACCCTAATGTAAACTATGTACTTTTCATTAATAACAATGCATCAGTTAATATTAATTGGCTCATCAGTTGAAACAAATGTACCACAGGAATGCAGGATGCTAATTAATACTAGGAAAAACAGTGGAGTGGGAGGCCGGTAGAAGAGGGGACATAGAGGAACTGTGTGCTTTTTACACAATTCTTCTGTAAACTTAAAACCACTCTGAAAAAGAGTTTATTTTTTACAAATAAAATACTAATATTTTGCCTACATACTTAGTAAAGTTCTTGTTTGGTTCTTCTTACCAAGTCTCCAGTGCTAACTGAAAAGCAGTATTCTAGGTAGTCTCATGGGGGCCGGTAGTGTGGGTCCACCCTCCTAGAACTGAGGCTCTCGGCTCTTTATCAAGAGCCTTAAAAATATTTCTACTCTGAAGATGAAATTCATCTTCTAGACATTCATTCTAACAACAACAAAAAATAAATCCTAAAATATTTGGGAACAAATGTGCAAAGAAGTTCATTATTACTTTACTATGTTGTTATTTAAGTGCCGTCAGGTCAGTTCCAACTTACAGCAGCCCTGTATAGGGTTTCTGAGGAGCAGCTGATGAGCTTGAACCACCAACCTTGCAGTCCAGCGCACTAACCTGCAGCACTACAACAGGACTAGCCCCCCAAAAAAGTAGAAGGAATGTAAATTACTCCTTAGAGAAATAAGTATCGTGGTGCATCATCTTAGTAGAATAACATGAAAACATTAAAATAATTGTTATAAAAAATGTGTATGATAATATGGGAAACGCTTCCGAAATACTTACTCATTAAAATGGGACGTGACTCCATCCATTACGAACTTAATTCTCCAGATACGGAGCTGTTTGAGGGCAGGACTCTGTCTTGTTCTCCAGCTGCTGGCACATAAGAGACTCTCAAAAAATATTTGTTGACTGACTGGCAAGACTAACACTACACCCAAAGTTAATGTGTTAATTTCAGGTAATGTGTAAATTAAAGCTATATTATTTAATAAAAATAGTATGGGACTGTAGGATTAGCACTGGACTGCGAAGCAGAAGGTTCGCAGTTCAAACCCACCAGCTGCCCCTCAGAAACCCAACACCGGGTCATTATGAGTCAGAACCGACTCAGCAGCACTAAATAACAACAGCAATGAAGGCTTTAGACCAGGGGTGGTCTGGCCATGCCAAGGCAACATTAGGGGTGAGTTAATTAAATGTTTGACCATATATGTTGTTGTTAAGTGCTGTCGAGTCAGTTCTGACCCATAGCGACCCTGTGTAGGGTTTCCAAGGCTGTAAATATTTACGGGAACAGAAAGCCTCATCTTTCTGCTGCAGAACAGCTAGTAGTTTCAAACTGCTAACCTTAAGGTTCGCAGCCCGATTCATACCCACTATGCTACCAGAGCTCCTTATATAGCAAGCTAACATTCAAGTTGATAATTTTGTATGGCCTGTGAATGATGTTATAAATATCCAAATGACCCTTGGCAGAAAAAGTTTCCCCACCCCTGCTTTAGACCAAGAATAAGCATTGAAATCAACATGGAAAGGGAAAACCCATCAGAGCAGGTGGCACATCCATGCTTCCTTCACCCAGAAAGAAGACAGGAAGAAGAAAGGGGGAGACTGAGTTGGCAGTGGGAAATAGAACAGTAGTAGCCCTTCAGTTGTTAGAGTGTTCTCCAGGACTTCTGTTGCCCAGCTGGGCATGTGGTCAGACCAGCAAGCCACACTGCATTGCCAAGGATGATCGTACAGACAGCAACAGAACCCAGAGTCTACCCAGGTACTCCAAGCAGGCCTGCTGACCCCTGACCTCAAACCGTAGGTGGAAAATGGTCACTAGAGGTTTGTTTACTTGCATGTTTCAATGGGGGAAAGCCTGGACCATGTAAGAAATTTCTGTTCATAAAAGTTATCAATTATGTTCACCTCCTGGCACTTATCTAAGGACTACACGCCTATTTTCTTTTGAAAATGTAAGTATAACATACAAGGGGGCTTCAAAAAGCTTTTAAGATAATTGAGTTAATAGATAGTGAGATTTTTTTCCATAAACTTTTTGAAGCCCCCTTCATACACTTATTTTAAACGAAGCTATTGAACATGTGTCTTAATGGTAATTAAATTTAGAAAATATGATATATTAACATAAATTTTTGAACAGCACATATCCATTATAAATACTCTTATTCTAGGGGTAATTTTGTCTTTATTTCTACTATAGGTATCATATTTTATCAGGAATTCCTTGGTGCAACTTTTCTCCCTATATTTATATATCTTTTTGGGTAAGTCAATGCCTAAGCGGTAAGACATGTGAAATTCTATTACTTTTGCATAGGGTTTTTGGCATTGTACCTGAGGTATAGAAAATTGGAAGATTATATAAGAAACATTAGTTTCCTGAACTAAAAGAAAGATGTTTTTCAACTTAACACCCCACGTAGGGCTCACTGCCTTCAACTTTGTGATTTTGGGGTTTTTTTGAGAGTTCTGAAACATTGGAAATTAGCTGGCCCTTGTAGTTATTCCATATAAAAGGAGCCCTGGTGGTGCAGTGGGTTAGGCATTGGGCTGCTGACTGCAAGGTCAATAATTCAACAGCTGCTCCACTTGAGAAAGAGGAGGCTTTCTGCTCCCATAAAAATTTACAACTTCGAACACCCTACACAAGGTTGGTCTGAGTCAGAACCAAGTCGGTGGCATTGGATTAAGGTTAAGGTTAAGGGTTGAGGGTTCTGAAAGAAACACTGGAGACTGTCCGTTCCAGCCATAGTCAAGATACATCCACTATTGGCCCTTGTAGTTATTCCATGGCCTTTTTGTACTAAATCAGATCTACCCTACCCTTGGGAGCCCCCTAGACTAGATTTCAAGTCAATCAGAGGAATATGAATGCCTCTAGGAACCTCCCAAATTCAAAACCAAGACTAGAGCAGCTCCTAGGTTTTGGAACGAATGGCATCAGATTGAGAGCACCCGTCTTTTGCATCAAGGTTCCTAGCGAGAAGCCTCCCTGGAGATTTGGTGGGCAGCAGTGTTGGCATTACTTGCAAACAGAGAGTAGAACTTTGACAAACGATCACTAATGTATAGACGCTTCCAATCGCTCCAACTGGCACTCTGTGAATGCTTGGCTGCTTCTTGATCTGGTATTCAGCATGATCATTGTTATGTAAACTTGAGCCCAGATTATTTTCATTATAGGAAACCATCTATCTGAAAATTCAGTTTCATAAAATATTTGGGTGAGGCCAAATTTCTAGGGTCTGGAAACTATGACTACTCTTATGGCCAAGGACAACGAAATTTCTTAGAAAATTAAAGAATAAATTATTTTTTCACTTGTGTTGCATGCCAGTAATGAGTCTGGGCATGCATGGATAGAAAATGAGACCTAGTGTCTGCCCAAAGGGCTTAGAGCCTGAATTAGCCTCCAGATGGTAAAAACCTGGGGCGGAGATTTGTTGGAAGCTGCCCAAGTCTTGGTTCTGGGCGCAAGTATGATTGGCTGTAGCAATTAAGACAAATTCTAGGCAGCTTACCATGAGAAACAGGATGGACAAAACCAGTGGAATTTGTGTCATTGTACAGTTTCTGGAGCTCAGTTATTCTATATGAGCTGTGTTCTTTATTAATTCTATTCTTACAGGTGTTTTCTGTCCTTCTTTGGCGTGTTTTTGGTCACAAGAAATCGAGAAAAGGAACGCCTGCAACAGTCTTACATTGATTTGGGAGATATTCCTGGTAAAAATGTATAGCCTATCATTTATAATAGAAAATTGTATCCTTACAAATTAATTGCTGCTGGTATTATTTTGGGTCCTTTTAGCCTCAGAAAGCTTACATTTAACTATGAATCCCAGAGGGGATGCTTTAACTATAAATGTTGGTAGTCACTCATTGAATGCTGACTTTGTACAGAACATAGGGAATATAAAAGAACGGACCATGTTTTGTTGATTTAGTTAATTTTGAATCTTTCTTTGGGGTTTCCTTAAATTGGAAAAGGGCAGGGTAAAGACAGTGGCAAGGCTGCAAACAGCAGATCCCTGCAGTAAGGAAAAGTCTTTGCAGAAACCACTAAGGATGAAGGTTAGGCTGCTGAAAAGCATCGTTCCGGGGAAGACTGAGGTGGCTTGTGCACCATTGTGCCAAGAGTGCTGTTCATCACAGTCACCAGGACAGGGGTAGCTTCTACCCCCTCTCCTTCCCAAACTCCTCCAGATTGGTATACTACGTATCTTCTTTCCAGTCCTCACTCTCACCAAGAAATAACTCACTTTAGCCATTTAGACATGAGAAGAAAAGTCCAGGACACAGAAAGCAGTCTGCTATGTCCCCGTCTCCTTTCCCCCCTCCACCCTCCAACGATCTCTAGTTTTGCTGGAGACTCAAACTGACCTGTAGGTTGTCAAATAGTAGTGAAGATGTTCTCACCCACTCCTCTACCATTCTCTTAGGACTGAGGCCTTGAAGCAAGGAACATTAAATCCTTACTTATAGCCAAGAAAAAAAGTTTTTGAAATGAATTCTGTGTTCCTATTTGAACCATCTTACCCACCAAGCATTCAATGCGAGAATTGGCATTGGTAACAAGAGCTTGCTTTACTGGTATCATGTTCAAGATTGCTCAAGATTATTGGTAGAAAATAAAGTTTACTTATTTTTAACTCTTTTTTTTTTTTTTACATTTCACAAAGCCCCACAGATAGAGTCATTAATACCTGTAGAAGTCACTATCAGAGACTATTTTTCTATGTTTGGTATGTATTAACCTAAACATGCTAAGAAGACAGAACCCTGAGGAGAAAGGTTTGGGGACAGATGAATGCTTCCTGTTCTTCTCTTGACTGACCCAACCTGTGTCCCTTTTCCAACAAGGAACTATGGGATAGAGGACCAAAATCTCTCGTATGGATAGTATATGATCCCTTATCAAAGGACATGGTGTTCCATTTGGGCTTTTCTTCCTTGACACTTACCTCACCAATTTAAAGGGTTACCACAAAGTATGGGAAAAGGAGAAATAAAATGTAGCCTAGATGGAGGGGAAGTTATTAGGACTTAATCTTCAGAAAGAGCTTAAAAGATTTTCTCATAATTTTTATCTCCACAGGGAAACAAATGTTGGACAGAATACAGCCAGATTCAAATGGCTTATCCTATGGAACTTTGCCCGATGGAAGTGACTCAACAAAGAGCCAAAGTGGAGAGAAGAAAGAGGTCTAAAACGCTGAGAGGGATGGCTGTTGGCCTGTTACTCGATACCACCTTGTTAAAAAATTGCACATGTTCAATTTGTGTCAGCAGCTATTTTATGCTGACATATGCTAGCATTACTTGCCGGCCTTTACCCCACCTCAATTTCTATGGACAGTCAGGACCTTCCCAAGCTTTGACAACCTCATGTTTCATGGAATGTAATTTGAAGTGTTCCCCACACCCTGGCCGTCTCCATAGTGGTCATCCAACCGGTCTGGCTGCCTAGGCAGGAGTGTCACACAAATATGTGTACTCGTGACTTGGCTGTAGCCTGCATAGGTTCATTTTCCTGTGCGGTGTGTAGTGTGTGTCTCTTGACTCCAGATAAGTACTTTAGTCCTACCATCTCAGTCCTGAAAGATAGATCTGCCAACATTCCTTTTTCCTAGGCCACCTCTTGTGAGCCTCCCCATCAGCATCAAGAGCTCACCTTTCTGTTCCTAAATTAGAATGGTGAATCATCTCTGCTGAAATCTAGCCCAGCTTCAATCCTAACATCCTATGGAAATTAAGGGTTGTTATAAAATTAGAATTTCTAAGTAACATTATGTGATGGTATATACCATAACTAGAAGACCTTGGCTGATGGGGCTTTTAAACTTAAGAAACGGAAAATTTCAGAATTAGTACCTTTCTTTTAAAAATGAAACTATAGAATAGAAACATCTTCAGCTGTAGGATCCTATTCTACTTGAATTGCCACTGAAGAAAAATTTCATATTCTATTTTGTTACTGGGGTCCTGGTATGGTGCTGTAGAATAATCACTATACTGCTAACCATAAAGTCAGTAGTTCAAACCCACTCCTTGGAAACCCTATAGAGCATTTCTGTGTGTCGAAACTGACTCAGTGGCACTTAATATTAACAACATTTGTTGTTGTTGTTGTTAAGTGTTGTTGAGTCAGTTCCTACTCACAGCAACCCAGTATCTGGTTTCCAAGAAGCAACTGATGGGTTTGAATCACAGATATTATGGCTTGAAGTCCCCTGTTTATCCTACAATGCCATACCAGGAGTCCTTATTAGTTATAAATCTTAGAATCTGTCAAATGGGTTTATATGCTTAAACTTTTAACACAAGTCTCAAAAACTGCATTCAAATTCTTAGTGATGTTCTCATTACCTACCTTTTTTCCCTCCAAGTAATTATCCCAAGCTTTATAAACTGTTCTAGATCAAAAGACAGTTGTGATTAGAGAACTCGATTGCAAACTGTCCATCTGTGGACAGTCAGATGGGCAAACCTGGGCCTAGAAAAGCTTGCACTTCAATGATGTTTCTGCTGTAATTGAGTCCCATGTCTACTAATATACATTTGCAAGTAGAATTCATAACCATATCTGTCACTTATGGTCTACCTAATACTTACATGGACTGCTAACCAAAAGGTCGGTGGTTCAAACCCACCAGCCACCCTTCGGAAACCCTACACAGAGTTGCTATGAGTTGGAATCAACTCCACAGCACTTAACAGCAACAACAAAATTTAAATGATGGTCACTGGGAGGCACATAAAGGTAAGCCCTCATCTATTTGCCAAGAAGTCGACAGTTTAAAACCACCCAGAGATATCTTGGAAGAAAGGCTCTGAAAACCCTCTGACATGGGGTTGCCATGAGTCAGAACCAAGAAGACAGCAGTAACTGACAACAACAACATTTAAATGAGAATGTTGTACCCACCATCAAATAATAAGCCCATCCTTGAGGACAATTCAGATTCTTCAGCTCACACTGACACCTAAGCATATATTGTTCCTAACAGTGATCTTGTTTGGTGCAGGCCTTTTAGCTCAGCGCTGTTGAAGCTGTCATAGTAACTGCTTGGAGTCTTGGGACTTTGCTCTTAATCATGACCCACACTCCTGACCAGACTGACCAACTCACAGAGGTACCAACCCGGGTCACAAAAAGAGACATGAATACATCACCAGTGCATGGAAAATAACCCATAGAACCAGAGCCTCTCATCTATCCTAAGACCAAAGAACTAGCAACCGTTCTGATCAGGACCGTAATAGATGGGTCTTTGCAGAAGGGGGGGGAAATGTGGAACAGAATTAAAATTCTTTAAAAATCCAAAAATTAAAATTGGATAGGTTGCCACTAAAGACTCCCCAAGACTATTGCCTTGAGATACACTGTAAACTTGAACCGAATCTACCCCCTGAGGTTTCCTTTTAGCTAAAGAACATATTGCCTCATAAAATAAAGACTATTAACAGTAAGTACTGTGAACATTTTAAAAACCTCTAGATGAGACCAAATGGTCAGCAATTACCCTAAAGCAAAGATGAAAGGGTAGGAGGACAGGGAAACCAGGTTACTGGAAATAAAACATCCAGAAGGGAATTAATGGGAATGTTAACACATTGTGAAAAGTGTAACCAATGCCTCTGAACAATTTGTGGAGTTATAGTTAAATGGGAACCTAATTTGCTGTGTAAACTTTTACTGAAAACACAATAAAATTTTATTTAAAAAATAAAAGAACACAGAGCCCACGTCTGGCTACTGCACTCGTGAGTAACAATTCCTGGCGTTGATGAGGACCCCGATAATTCAGATAAACACTCATGGACTTTACCACACATTTACTGAGCTGGTACGGCATGATGAAGGTTCGTGTAAGAAATGTGTCTGCTGCCTCAGTCTATGGATGTCTAGTGACTCAAAAGACTGGTTTCAAAGATTAGGAGAATAATGGCGCTGAGGTGTTTTCCTTGAAGTAGGACTCCATTTACAGCTATAGCACGGAACTTTGAGCATTGTAGAATTCTGCACAGACACAAACATATTACCAATACTTTACTGGTCGCCAGCATGTGGATCTATTAAAACTTTTGAGAAGTGTCATTGAATTATGCACAGTTGAGCAACCCAGCAATGCTTCAGAAGTCCAGGCAACACAGGAAATACTACTTTTACTTTCCATATTGTTGTACCAAAGAATGGTGAACAGGAGTTTTAGATGCTCTGGCTTGTAGGGTTTTGCTTTTTTTTTTTTTAATTACACTGTGCTTGAAAACAACCAAAGCCAAACCAGTCTTCTTGGCATTGTAGCTAGGGGCCTTAAGCCAACACTTGGCTCATCTGATTATTTGTCTAGACCAGGGGTCGGTAAGCTTGTTCTATAAAGACCAAGAGAATAAATCTTTTCAGACTGTGGGCCATACGGTGTCTGTCACAGTGACTCAATTCTGCCATTGTTGTAGGAAAGCTAGACAATATGTAACTGAATGAGCATGCTTTATTTACAAAAGCAGGTGGCTAGTCCATGTGTGCCAACCCCTGGTCTAGACTCTTCTGCCCTGCTATGCAGTCTCTTCTCTGTTCCTGTTTAAGAGTGGTACTTTATGGCTCATGGACAACCAGATACTCTTGGAGTGCAGATGTCTTGATATTTATCTTAGGATCTGTTTGTTTATATAAGATAAACAGAAGCAGAGAGTTCACTATTGGGACCTAAACGTCTCTCTTTTGAAAGCAGTAGTTCTTTTTTGAACACCAGTAATTACATTGAAAGAACTTCTTGATACCATACTTCATGTTGATAAGAGCTTTGTAAATGAGTAATAGTTATTCATTAACTGATTGTTTTTCTATTTAAATGTTTGCTTGCCCTTTAATACCTTCACTACCAGACTCACTTGGGGTAGAGGGAGAGAGATACAATAAAAACTTCTCAAGGAGTGACTCAGAATATATCCTTCAACACACCTCTCCGTCCCCACAGGTTCCAGAATTTTCCATGGCAGAGAAAGAAAGAGAAAAGACGGATTTCACAGATTCATGCAATTCCAATGCTGTTTAAGAGTAATGGTGAGAATGTGTACATTTGGCTCCAAAAGAAGCAGGTGCAATGGTGGACATGACTCAAACGAGATCGAAATGTTGAGCCAAGTTCCTGACGCCAAGGGCCCTTTCTGTATCCCTTGTTTCCAATCATATAGCTCATCCAGGAACGATGACTGTGTGCTCAGCCACACTGAAGGGTGCCTTATGCTTGCCAATTTAGCACTGATACTGTGGACATCAATACAGCAGTTACTGAAGTGAATCGTCCCAATGCCTTACAGACTGTCCAACAGCTAGGGCTGGATAGAGGGAGACCCAATGCATGTGTCCGGCACCATCAAATGTAAGGGCTTTGATAAGGATACTAGATCAACACAATTCATTTTGAACTTTTAGAACCTGATCTCAGCACAGAACGTGACTGTGTGGGGAACTTAGAGGCTGCTTCCAGTTGTTAGATTCCTCAGCAGTCTGGCTCTCATTATGACCATCTTGAAGTAAAAACTAAAATAAAATTCCACACATACACAGTTTCCGTGCAAATATAGACCAGTCGTGGGCTATTAAATGTAGTGTTTTAGCAATTGTGGTCAATGCAGGGAAGAGCCTTCCCACCCAGGAATTCTTAAGTCTGTCCCCTTTCTCACCAGCCTCAGGGTACCACACAACATGCTGTCCCATGCCAGGATTTCAAATCAGTTACAGGAACTGTGGGCCATCCAAAGAAACTTCAGTTTTTTTTGTTATTTTTTTGCTAGAGAGGAAGGAAACTTCTCCTCCAATGCCAGCCTTATTGAGAGTTAACAAGTCCCAACCACAATGTAAAAGAGAATATCAATCCCAATATCAAATAAATGTGGTGTTTCAGGGTGCACACAGCTGGGTCAGGCCCTGCCAAAATTCTAAGTTCTAGGCATGAGGCAAGATGTTCTTCCTGTTCCAGGAAAGAATCTCCTGCCCAGGGATTTGGCAAGGGTAAAACAATAAGAAAAAGCTCATCCGTTCCTGATGGGACCAGCAGAGTGGCCCAAAGACACTTGACACCAAGGCCTCAAAGTTCTTCTCCCTGGCTCAGTCATGGCAAATGAAGTGAAACAGAACATTTACAAGTGGACACCAAGCTGAAAACAATCTCCCTTTTAGAAAACAAGGGTAGCATGTGCACATT